TTAATTTCCTTTAATCCGCTTATTTTTTTTTTTAGACAATCTTATATGTCGCTTAACGAAGTTAGAGTTATGGGAAACGGTCCATGTGAGTCGTAGGTAAAGGAAAAGGGAAAAACGACGAAGTAATAGGCGGTAGGGAGAAAGCGAAATTTATTGCGGACAACTTCTTATTTGACAAATCTCGGGGGCGGGTCTGATTGAGGGACGAATCTCCCTCTCGGAGCATTGGACGAAGTTCTAGCACAGAATTATCGATGTTTCTTGCTATCGACGGATTCGTTTAATGATTTTCTTACATTCCTCTCACCTTTACCCGTTTCTTTAACTCTTTCCTCGTTTGGCAAAACGAAAAAACTTATTAATGCCTTTTGATATCATTAAAAATATTATGAAAAATATAATTAAGGCGCATGATCAAACATTTAGAAATATTTAAGTCACTTTAAACATAAAATTTGGGAATATATTTTCCTAATTTTTGCTATTTTATTAAAAACAATACTGTAATAATTATCTTGAAAATAAAACATGTTGCTTATTATTTAATACAATACACACTTATTTCTCGGTTAGGTAAATTTTTTTATACTCGATTCTCTTGACATAATTTTGGGACTGTAAAATATTAATTACGAAGGATTGAATAAACTTTTTATAGTTTTGATAGTTAATGCAAGATTCTCACAAAGATTCACGAGTCGGCAATACGAGCAAAGTTTTTGATTTTTAGTTGTAGTTAAAAGTTTCCTGACTCTTATGATAGGCGGAAAATATGACTTTTTATCAGAACCGAGATGCGTGTCTAATCGAAAGGGAGCATTGAAAGACTTATAGAGGATACACGCAGGGAGGATATACGCTTCGAAAGAAACGCTTTGATGTCAGACGTCAGGATTCTCCGAGTTCTTACACTTCGTCGAGGGAACAAATTCGATTTTCTCGGATGTAGACAGGAAAATTAGTCGCCTGATCGGTTATGAATCAAGCTCGAATCTCGTGAGCTTAATTAGTTGAATGAAAATCGATTACTATTCCTATGATTTTCAAAAGATAGCTTTAATTTCTTTGGCCTTTTCTGGCCTTTATTGTCAGGATTTCTTTTTAAGATCACAAAAATTATTTTTCTTTGAAAGAAATTTTTTCAATCTCAATTATCACGTTCGAAGTTTTTAAATATTTGATTATATAACAAATTATTTTTTACAATTAAAAATAAATATTTAAATATTTAAAATGTATATAACAATCTTAATAAATGATATATTTTAGCATATCTAATTTTTAATTTACGTCTCGATGAAAATTGATCACTTAATTAAAAATTAGACAATTTATGATCGACGACAGCGTTTTTTTTAATTATAAATTATCCAATGTAATTGAATATTTTTTTAATGTACGAATAGTATATTTTTACGCAACAAACTATTTCTTCGGTCACGGTAAAAACGTAGCGTGGTGTTTCATTTTGACTACGCGGTCGAAGCTGGACCACTCATCGTCGTCCTGAGACAGGTTGGCCATTACGAGACCTGTAACACAGTCGGGTAAAAGCGGACACCGTAAAAGCGAACGGGGTGAGCAATGCATCCTGACGGGGGCCGGTGGAGCCCCTGTGGGAAATAGAGATGAGTCTCGCACGCGAACTACAGGGAATGCCGAGTGCAAGGAAATTTAATATCTGAATCGACATTCCGCGTCCCCCTTTCATAACAGACAGCCCGTTGATTCGACCGAGCGGCATCACTGTGTATTATCGGTTTACTCTTGAGATATCGATACATTCGCTATCTCGTTTATTTTTATCCACAATACGAAATCAGTTTGACATAGAAAGCACAACTGAAAATACTGTATGTGGTTACGTGCAAATAGTAATGTTTAAATTTTTAATAATTATTTTGGATCCGATTAATATTAGCTTTTCCTGCAAATTTGAAACAATAAAACTATATTTTTGTCGTGGAAAATAACTTCCGTTCTTTATTGCTTAAAATTAAAAAAAAAATATTTTAATTAGAATTTCGTATCGATCTCTTTGACTTAAAAATATACAAAAATATTTTACGCGGAATATATTCTAGTGTTTTCTTCCTCTTCCGATTGATCGAGCAGATTTTATTTTAAACTTGTCAGGATGTAGTTTTCCGTATTGGAAATTACTGAAACGAAGTTGAACTCGGACGTGATCATCTCTGTCGATGTTTTCGAAATTCTGAAAGTTCAATTACATTTGTCGAGGTAACTATTGCCTGGCAAAGAAAGAAAATGAGAAGTGACAAAATAGATCGTGTTTCAATTCCTAAATAATTTCAAACTTAGGCATGTAATTTTAGAAATAGAAGAGCACTTTTATACCTTTTTATCATTAAAAGTATAAAAATATTTCCCTTCAAAACATGAGATGACGAAATGTTTTAAATGACACGTGTCTTATTTTACACGTTTGTATCTCTTTGAATGAGGGTTCTTGCTCAAACTTCCCTCGCACAAATTCTTCATTTACGGGCATTTAAGTTTGCATTCAATTTGAAGCATTCGCAGAAAGCTTTCGATATACCTTCCACCCGCGGTAATTCTGTCGAGAAAATATTTATCGTGTCTCGATCGTAGAGGGCACTTTCTGCCCAATTCACGTCGATCGCCGTTAATTAAGAAGACTAGCTTCGTAGCTCCCCGACGCTATTTATCGTTCCTTCTAGCAGCCAGAGACGGCAGATGTCCCTGCCGATTCGAAACGATCTTTTTGGGACCCTTCGGAACGGATTCACCCTGCGCTCGCCCTCGACGACACTTTAGGGACGCTTTTTCACGAATCGCCGCCGCCGCTTTCCCGGCTCGTTCGTCGCAGATTAAAACCGATCCGAAAGCGACTAGTCGTGAACTTTGCCGCTCATGCTTGTAACTCGAGAAGCTGACCTTTTGGCCTTCTTCGTGGAAGCAATTCCGAGTGCGAGAATCGCGTAATCCTCTTTGCCAGTGTAACTGGGTTTGTGAGTTTTCTCTTCATATCGTTAGCCCTTTTCTTTCTTCTTTTTTTTTTTTTGCAGTGAAACCAAACGTGTGCATCGGTTTGCTGTGTGTTTCACAAAGCCAGTGGGCTGTTGTAGCTTCGCGTTGAAACTCAACGCAAACGAAACAATCCGGGTTAGAGTTGCTCTGTGTAACAAGAACTAACGCGAGTCGCGTTGGAGTGCAATTGTGGCTTGTAGATTATGTTTTTTTCTATTTTTTTCTTTTTTTTTGTACATACGGCGATTGACGCGGAGTTAACGTTTACTTCGACGACTGTGATACATAATTCGTTAAAAAAATAACACGCTGCAAATTTACGTGAAATAAATTAAAAGAAGCAATTATCATGATAAAAAATTATTTAATGTGATGAATTGCATTTATCGCGTAATCTTTTAATATACTTTTCTTTTATAACTCTTGAACTCGACTGCATTGTTCCTTCAATATCAAAATTAAACGGCTTCATGCAACGCATTTTTTTTGGCTTGAATTATTTAAAAGAAACCAACATACTGGATTTATAATTTTTTTCATTTGACGTTTATCGTTCGCGTTATGCGTTTGCTCGTAACTCGATTGCGAATTCATCTATCTGATGAAACGCAGAAACGGATCATTATAAGAAGACTCTTTAGTTCGAGAGTAGTTGGACCATCCCGCGCGCGGTGGTCGCGGACCACGCGCGACTTGTCTCAATTTACAGGGACGACGCTGGCATTCCGGCGGGCCGACGGCGGCGCTAATTTATATTAATTTTAGACACGTATATATTCGAATTAACGCGCGCCGACCGGTGCTCTCGTGCTGCTTTTTCAGCATTCCTGCGCGGGACGGACGGAGCTTCCGAGCTCTCTCTCTCTCCCCGAAATTCGTGGGACGAGTATTAGGCGAGACCGCCCGCAGAAATAAATCGACGAGAACATCTCCGTCAAAGGGAGAGACGCGACTCCTGGTATTAAATATAAACCGTACCTGTGTATTTTATTAATATTATACGCCACTCCCAATTAATTACGTTGAAGTGATATCTCTCGGGAATTGAAAAGAAAAAAAAATTGGAACGGGAATAATTAGGCCATGCACGAATTATCGAGCATCGACAAAAGAGCATTTTTCACGATGTGCGATCGTAATTGAGCTGCGATTTCCCAGGCGATCGATCCTAACTTAATTATGTAGCGGAGGAACTCGCACGCCATTTCCCAACGGATTTCGTTAAATATTCTACGAAACAGAAAGCGAGCGAGTTGTCGAGAACGGCAATTAATCCCTATTATTCGCGCTGTAATTGAGTCGGCGAATTGCGCTCAACGCGGGTGAATGTTTTTGTAAAACCAATCTCGCGTATGTATCATTAGCAATCCGTTGATTCGGAATTATTCAATATTCTCCTTGCGCATTATCTATTTTAAACAAAAGACGTAAAACTGATAGAACAAAAAAATTTAATTTCTTATCAATATAGAAAATTGATACTTTGAATCTTTCATTCGTCGTAATTGAAAAGATTTTATATTTTTTCATTAATATCCAAGCGATCCATATCTCCATACACTAATGATAATATAATAATAATAATAATAATAATAATAATAAATTTACAAAGACCATATCGAGGGCTTTGTAGGAAATCGATCGCGGCCCGTATCGATTTACGAAACGGAATTACAAAGTTGTTTCGCGATACCAAAGTCATTTGATCCCCGGTGAATGAGTTTTTGTGTCGTCGACTTGTGCCACCGCACGTGCGCCATTGATTTGCATAGCGGTGCAACGGGGTGCAACGGTATCGAGCGAGGGGCTACACGGTGGCACAGTGGCACTCGCGTGCAAATCGATGGACGCTCGGTGCATCGTTCGCGTAGGGGCGGACCGGGGGGGGGGGGGCGGGGGGGCGCGTGCAACATTAACGCATCCGCGGATGCATGCAAATTCCTGCCGACACGCTCTCTGAGGGACGTCTCTGTTCTGTCTGCTTGCAGATCCCTGCTTCCGCACCCGTCTCGCACGGACGTATCAGCGTTTCGCCGTCGCATCCCACAATGGCCGCCTGTTTATGGTGAGTGTGTGTGTGTGCGCGCGCGCGCGCGCGCGCGCGTGTGTGTGTGTGTGTGTGTGTGCGCGCGTTAGTATTAATTTGCGCGACGGTTCCGACGGACATCATCAGTTCTCTCGCTCGCTCTCGCGCGCTCGAAATATTTAACTGAAATAGATTTCGATCGAAATGCGCTCGCCCCGATCAAATCTGTACGTCGCCATGAAGAATCTGCCAATACTTCGTGCCGGTGCGGCTTAAATATTTACAACGCTTGCAAATCACTCTTTTGCACTCTGGCAGCTTGTAGTCTGTTTGCAGAGTGAAATGCGATTCGGATTGAATCGAGTCGGAAATATGAGCGCGCGAAGTTTCGTAAATTTTAACACGCGAGATACATTTCATTTTTTTTACACAATAATATTTTACATATTTTATTTTATTTTTATACGATATATTTTACACGCTATTTTATTGGACTTTGAATATATTGAATATATTGAAAAGTTTCAGAGTGGTAGTGTTATATGTATTAGAAATAATGTTCCTTGCTGCGCGTAAATTTCGAAACACACCGGCTCGTGGAAAGTCTCATTTTATGCCGTATTTATCAAACGTAGCCCTGGTGGCAACGACAGGATACTAATATATCCAGGAAGTATTCTCCAAATCGAAACATAAATTTTGCTCGAACGAACATGTACATCCTCGTACATTCTAAACGCGATAGATCAGGGGCGCGATAGACGAGAAGCTATCCGGTCTTCCGCGCTAAATCATCTCCGGCGACAAGAGACGTCGTGAAGCTGAACTCTCTTAAATCCGTCTTATCCGGTGAATTATAGTTGTGCGACAATAGCCGTCGCGTAAGTTTCTCTCGGAACATGCCTAACTTGAATCCGAAGGCGTCGAAACGAAAAATGAAGCACACATCGCGTACAGGATGTCTTTCTCCTCTTAGTGGATCAACCGAATTGATGGTAGAGTCTTTATCGAATATGCGGATCGATTTTTTTCTTTTTTAGATGGAACATTCACATTTTTCACATTATAAGTCACGTGTCAAAAATCAATTTTTTAAAAAAGGCGATTGAGAGATTTTATTTTTAACTAGTTTTAAATGAATTTTGCTTTGGTAATATTTTAAGAGGCAGTAATTGAAAAAGTGGAAAGTGTTTATGTTTTTATTAATCTGATGATGTATCTAGAGAAAAAAGTTGACATCGTATTCATTAAAGTTTACTGTCAACTGCTAACCTTATAAAATCCCCCGTATATTCGATATTTTTATTCAGTTTATAAAGTTTTATTTCAACCATAGCATCAACATAGCACCGAGTTGAAAAGTGTGTAAAAATTCCATTGTATTTCTATCCGCGAGAACTCATTGTTGTTTTCATAAAGAATTTCAAGTGGTTTTCAGAACTAACAAAAATAACACCATATCTTTTTTTCGGCTATGTGTTGTTTTCCACTTGCTGAATTTTTTGGATTCCCATCCAATTTTATAGCCGTGAAGAAAAATCAAAACATGATAAGCTTATCCATACGAGAGAGAAGAGAGAGAGAGAGAGAGAGAGAGTAAGTTAGTAAAAAAATTAGT